CCCCCTTTTGCACTATTATTTCAATTTTTTTTCTCAACTGTACTAAACCCGCACAAAAATGTCAAGGAACAAAAATTCAAAGAAAGATAGTTGAAAAAACGTTTAAACCGAATTTATTCTTTTTTTCCAAAAAGATGCTTTCAACTCTCTAAATCATGTGTGTACAATTTCATATTTCAACAACAGCGAGAAGTTTATGAAAAATGAGCTTACATCACATTGGTCGGATTTCAACAGTCTGAACTGCCATGGTTCTTCATAAACATTGTCAATATTGGACGTAGCTACCCTGGTTGGTCTGTGTCGATGCATGGACAGGACATGCCTTTGGAGAACTTGTTGCGGTAGGTTCTGCCACTCCTGGACGAGGTAGCCCAAGAGTTGTTGAAGTTTTGTGCAGGAGGGTGGTTGTACCTTGAACACCGGTCAATGTGATCCCAAATGGTCCAATCTGATGCAGGAAAAGAACAGCAAGGGGACGCAGGCTTTCGTTCCTGTACCCTGCCGCAGTCAAATTGCCCTGTATAATATCATACTACACTACAGCGGGGTCGTGTGGTGATCTGAAAAGCCTCCACACACCAGAACGGACCCTCCACCGTAGGGCACCACCTGCTGGATGCAGTCAGGATGGAACCGCTCTCCTCTGCGCCTCCAGACGTGGACTCGCCTGTCTGGCAGCAGCAGGTTGAATCTGAATTCGTCCGAGAAGACTACCTGGTCCCGCTGACGTCGTGTCCACTTTGAATGGCGAGCAGACCACGCCCGGCAAGCTGCTTTGTGGGGCGGCGTGTGCCTTGGGCGCCTGGAAGGGACACGAGAAGCGAACCCGGCTCTACGGAGACGGCTCCTCACCGTCTCCTCGCTCACGTGGACATTGTCTTTCATCCGTAGTTGGCCCCTGATGCGGTTTGCAGTGGTGGTTCGTGACGTCACGGCCTATCTGACAATGAACCGGTCGATCCTGTCGTTGGTCAAACGGGGCCATCCTGGTCGAGGTCTATCCTGGACCTTCCGGTCGCTCGCCATCGTTCTTGCATCCACCACATGACTTATAGGGACACTCAAAGTCGACGTGCAACGACGCGGAACGTAGAGCCATCTTGGAGCCAGGTAAGGGCTCGTCTTCTGTTGACACCAGGCAGCGAGCGTCCTTGGACCATTGTGCTGTAATGAATCATGGCTGAAAAACGCTGGTTTATAAAGGGTTGCAAGTGAGCGATAGTCAAAGCCAAAACATCTGTTTAGAACGTTCCAAGCTCAGTTTTAGCCACCAGCGCCTATGCCAATGTTGCTGAGGCAGAGAAATGTAGCCAAATTTTCAAACTTTTCGGCTGTGTTTTGGCATGCTCCATATCGCCACTGTGAAGCTCGTGTGGGTAAATTTGCTGTACATGCAAACTGTTGTCAGTGTGTGTGCCAAGTTTGGTGGACTGAACTTAACGGGTTTGCGAGATATTGAAGTTAAGATTTGACAGGTGAAAACACAAGTTGTTCCTTGCCTTTTTTGTGAGAGATTTGTTATTGTAGTCTTTGTGTTTCCGTGTTTTTTCCCACTTGTGTAGTCTTTATTTTCTTTGGATTGGTTGTCTCACTTGCAACCCCCCCACCCACCACCCTCACCCCTTCCTCGCTCACTTACCGCCCCCACCCTCTGAACCCCTTCTCTATTATTACTCTCTACCCACCCTACCCCTCCCACCCGTCCCTTTCACTCCCCCCTCCCATCCCTCCCCTCTCACTCACAACTCCCCTCCCCCCATCACTGTTACTCACTAGTCCCCTCCCCCTCCCCTCTCCTCTTATTCACAACTCTCTTTCTGCTGGGATGTATGTAGTTCCTCTCAGCTCATTTTGGTCACGACAGGCAGGATCGGAAGCCTGTCTCCACTGAATGGCCTAAATTATGTCGATGGGGGCGTATGACCACCCACATTAAGTTTTTTTTCTCACCTACCCTTCCTCCGCCACCCCC